AGTCTGGCGAGTGACGTCTCTGAACCTTCTTCTCCGCAGGAAAGGTTTGCGAGAAAAGTTCGTTAGCTCGAGAGGATATACAAGAGAGCTTAGATAGGATGAATAACTGCAGAGCTTAAGAGACATTCGGTCTAACCGTAATGAACCAAGTGACTCATTCTACTTACAGTGGTTTCTTAAGATTTCGATAAGATACCAGAATAGCCCAGCCTTCTATATGTGAGAGCTGAACACGAGCACGAGGCACGAGGGTCGCAAGACGCGTCGCGATGTTAACCCGGAGTGAATTCTCATTCGTGAGATTAAGAATGTAGCCTTGGGAAGAGATGGGTCGTTTCCAATTATGGGGGTGTATTCGCGAGGACTACGAAGTACTGCTTGCTTTTGTAATCTCCGCTGCCTCCAATTTAATGGGTACTCATGAGAGGATCCTCCATAGTCAATGTTAACCGGCCTATCTCTAATAACATCGATCGACTCGTACGCCTCGCGCACCTCGTAATTTACTCAAGCAAGACACTCTGAACCTCGGCAAATTTACTCACTCGAATGGACGGTGGATACGCTAGGGAATAGACTACACGCACCAAAAGCCATCGCAGTTATTGGTTAATAAACGGCGCCATGAAAGGTTGCCATTTCTAGATCAAATACGAACAAAAATCCTTTGAGACTGATAGTGACACCGGAATGTCTGGAAAGCATATGATTAATGCTGTAGGGAGTTATGGATAGAAAAAAAATCACGTTTGACATTTATATAACGGTCGAGTGAGTTTATATTAATTTTAATTACACTAAATCCACTGGTGGCATTGATAATATTATTTCCCGTGACCCCTTTCTATACATACATATACAAGAGATGAGGTAGGTAGTAACGCAAGTCTTCTTGTTCCTTTCATTAGTGGGCTTTCAAGTCAGTAACATTGTTATAATAATATGCTAACATTTCCCATCAAAGACGTAGTAGGTATCGAGAAATTATAGTTAAAGATATTGTACAAAAGCTTTAGGGTTTTGGGAAATCACTCGCTTAAGTTATTGCCTCTCCAGACCGTCGATTATTTTGTTACACTCTGCTCAATGTATAGTATAATGGAAATTTACATACTGCACTGAGGGTGGGAAAGACGAATCTCTATATAGAGGGTAGGGTGAAATACATGGTACAATCGGAAAAGAGGTGATTTCTCATAAAAAAGTAAATCAAAATTCCGGAATACATTTTTTTCTTTACGAAGCTAAATTTTTAGGGAAATCGATATCAAAAGCCAATCGGATTCGCGTGCCCTTGACTAATACTTGACTGAAAGGAAATCGCAGAAGACACTGCTTTTTTTGTTATTTGTATACAATGTTACGTTGTCCAGACGTTTGAAAACTGGAAAGTTCAGACCACGTTAGACACAGTTTGTATGTATGTGACAATGATGTCGACACTTTTAACGTTTCGTAAATTAACAAAATAAATTATTCTTGAGATTAAGATATCGGTAAAATTATTTCAAATCATCTCATGTCATGACATGGTATAGAGATACGAATGAAAATCATGATCTGTAATAAGTTTCGTAAGTCGAGTCTTCGTTAAGTGCATGGGTACCCGTCTAAAATTTAAAGTCTATTTTCTTAAAAATGAAGCCTCCTAGGAAAAAAGTTTATTTTACAATTTCGATTTATTTTCCCCTAAGGAATTTCCTACTTTTACCACCCTGTAAAATAACTCTGGTTTCAAGATCACCGAAGGAATGTATTTGTTATATTTATTCATTACATTAGTAAAAATAGATCAGCAGATGTGCGGATGAGCAAGTGATCAATGATCTCATTGTGATTTTAAGAGTTGTAATTGTCTTAATATATAATATATATTTTTCTTTGTTTTCAAATATTAATGTGTCTATTTTATATTTAATTCTAATTCTTAATTTGTTTTATTTTCTTAATTTTTGTTTTGATGTTAAATATGATATACCGACACATAATGCCTAACATGCCATAATTTGATTATATTAATTACCGTTTGTGATACAGTTTTCATTTTCATGTACAATTTCATACTCAAATTATTTTGTTTGTCAGAACTATATTTTGATTAAATAAAAATTAATCTAATAACAATGTATTGATACATACGTTTGTTCCAAAAGTAGTATTTAGATAAGAGTTCTGCAGCATTCCTTCTGAAGTATTATAAGAATAATGAAGAAATGGTACCGAGAAAAAGCTACATACCCTACTCTGGCTGAAATGTACCGAATACAGCTACTTCGATGTATAAAATCATTAAAAGCAACGATACTAATTCAGTCATATACATAGGAATGATTTGTACATACAATATTGTTGTTTCTCACCCAATTGTATTTTCCAAGAATTAAAAATCCATTTACTGTCGCTACATGCTTTCTCATGTGTTAACTTCACACGCCACATTCTATACAAGGTATTTCGTAGGGCAATGATTTGACTTCGTTTCAGGTAGAGAGATTCCTTAAGGAATCTTAATTAGACTTTTCTTGTACCTTGGCAAGAACTCAAAGTTATGAAAAGCAGATACCAGGTGTCAGGGATGTCGTCTTATCGAGCCACAGTGGAGTTACAGTGGAATCACGTAACTTTGTGCTGATTGGGGTAAACTCGCGTACCAGGCAACTTTAGCCGAATTCGCGTTGTATACACAGTCGCCATAGCGAATTCACCATTACAGAGGTTCGGAGGGATGTTCTCTTCGAGGGATCAGGATTAGTCTTGGCCCAGATTACGAGCTCGGTGACTCGTATACTATATTGCGGGGAATTGGTTTCCCGGGACATATTACTCAGATCCTCCTAATTGCGTCTGTGTATTAAAACGGAGCACATAATCAGCTGGTATACTAAGTACGATATTTAAAGAGACAAAAAAATGGAATCGGAATGAAATTTAAAAAATTATATTCGGCAACGTTGCCACGTTGTTTTCAAAAGCGTCCACATTTTTCGTTCGTAACTGCTACGTTAACTACTGGTTGTTTTCAGATACGTTTTTTGGTACTTTAGTTGCGTCTATCCTTTATTTTCCCAGGCTCGTAAAGTGAAACGAAAGAAATTGATGACGAGAACTTTCAGCGTGTTCTTTGGCTTTGGGAGTACTTACTACCTACGTACCATATACACGTAGGACAATGAGTATTCCCAGAGCGAGTAATGGCCACGGAGGCAAAACAATTATAGCTCAAGTTGACAAGTGTAATGTGACGAAAGTATCGTCGAAAAAGTGGGTCATAAACATCTGACCGTATCCATTTCCCCGTATGTACATTCCCACGTCTACCATTTCACCGTACCCCGTTTTCCCGTATGATACTTTTACTTCTCGCGTATTCCGTTTCCTCGGATCCCGTTTTCCCTATAACGTTTCCACGTATCCCGTACCCCGTTTTCCCACATACCAATGTTCAATATTTCATAATTCGTATGTAATATTGAATTATGAACATTTTCTTGAAACGACGACTTCTCGAAGACTCCATTTAAGCTTCATAACGTTTGAGTACTAAGCTTTTGTAACCCATAGCAGCATTGAAGCTCTAACTTAGCCTCACCTAACCTGTTCTAGCCTAGTCCTACTATATACAACCCCATCGCAGCATTAGTCTGTGTGTAGACGGACACAATTTATATTTATTGAAAACACCATGAAGATCAGTAATAATTACTGCATTGTAGTTCTATCCTATCCTAACCTAGTAAAGCCATATACAAGCGCAGCGCAGTATTGGGCTGTGTGTGATCGCACTCGCTCGTTTTTAATCTTGGTTTCGGTGAAGTGTCCTTCTCGAGGACATGGAATACGGGGAAATAGGAAACGTAAAAATGAAATACGGGAAAATGGGATACGGGGAAACGTCTATATACGCAAAAAAGTTCGTAATTCTAGAATGAACGAATTCTTTGTTCATCCTTGACGTTGAACTTCGGATTGCTAACGAAGGTAAAATAATAAGGTCGAACTGAAAGCTATGTATAGTTAGGATGATTCATTAAAAATGACGGAAATGACGGGAACTTTCGGCGTGTTCTTTGGTTTTTGGGAGTACCTACCACCTACGTACCATGTATACGTTGAACAATGAATATTCCCAGAGCGTGTAACAGCCACGTAGGCCAAACAATCATAACTCAAGTTGACAAGTGTAATGTGACGGAAGTACCGTAACAAAAGTATGTAATTCTAGAATGAACGCATTCTTTGTTCACGTTTGACGGTGGCCCTCGGATGGCTAACGAAAATGGCTATCGCAAAATAATACAGTCGAAATGAAAGCTATGTATAGTTAGGATAATTCGTTAAAAAATTATTAATATTAAGATATCACGAATTAGAACTCTCTCACGATTAAAAAAAATATCTTGAAACTAGTATATACAAATCGCTACTAAAATCCACGCAATATAGTACCGAATAATCTCCTATACCTTACTTAACTTGTTACGCAATAAGTTTTACCGTCTTATACAAAGAGCCGCCATTGAGTAAAGGTACACGGTTTACGACTAAAATGTTTAAAAAAACAAAGTAACTGTAGTAACTTAAGAAGAAAATTTTTTTAACAAATTATTCATGGCCATAATTTATTTGTAAAGTGTAATGTTTGTTGTAGAAAACTTAAAACAGAAACCATAATGATTGATATAAAATAAATTAGGTTTTTAGAATCTAAATGAACTGTAGAATCAATGTACAGTTTTTGTTCTCTCGAATTACGTAGAAAATAGACTGCCCCGGATTTACCCCGTTCTCCCCTAATCGTGGTCTTTTTTTTTTGATGCATTGCATTCATAAAGGACTCTTACGATTTAATAATGTATCGTTAATTTTTCAGATTCCACAGCGTTTTCCTAAATTTTAGAGACAAATATATAGATATAATGCTCATGGTACCTCTATGTTAAGGAGGATAATCATTATTTTGCCAGACTCATATTCTATTTATGCGTAATTCTGTATTGCAGATTACGTGGATACGTCGTCGAGACAGGCAATTGTTAACTGTCGGTGCTGCTACCCACTCAGTTGACACAAGGTTCATGATTCGACCTTCCAGTTCTGATTGGACTTTGTTGATTCGTACAGTAACTCTTGAAGATGCAGGACTTTACGAATGCCAGGTATATATGATAATAGTATAATGCTACTATATTTAATCCCATATTTACCATGTATTTTTAAATATATGTATTACATATATGTCTTTTCCATGCGGGTACTTTTAAAAGGATTTAAAAAAAATCTAAATGCATACTAGAGACACGTTCGAAGCTCACTGTTAATTACTTATCGAATGGCGATTCAAATATATCTGACTTCATTAATCTGATTTCTAACAGCACGCGTTGAAAAAAAAACCATAAATTGAAATAATTTTAAATAAAGCTGTTTCGGGTAATTAAGGTCGACATATTGAGGTCGGCGCCTGTATAGAATGAACTCAGAAGGTCAATTCTCGGGAAATGTCAATTTCGTTGGGCTTGTAACATTCCGATGGTATATCGAGATTATCCACGGATTCACCTTACTCTGTTCATATTCAACGCAGCCGATTACCTAAAGGTCAGTTTGGAATCAACACAACAGAGGGCTATTTTCGCATAATTTACGCGTTCACTAAATTTCAAGCGGCCAGCAAACAATGCCTGGTGTATGTTCTACGACACGTAGGAGCGGCATAAACGAATAACGTGTGCTCTTGTATGATGCAAAGTTATGTATAGAGCTACCATACGTGTATTTCATAATTTCAGGTAGCCACGCATCCTGTCCAGCAGTATTTCGCACGTCTGCAAATCACAGAAGCGTACTCAGTGATCCCCGGAGCACCAGATTTGCACGTGAAGCAGGGCTCGAGTCTTCGATTGGAGTGTCACTTGATGGCAGCAACGGAACCGCCGGTTTACGTATTCTGGTACCGTCAGGGTCGTATGATAAACTACGACATCGAACCAGGTGTGAAGGTAGAACCGACTAAGACCGGCTCGATTCTCGTGGTCGAGAAAACGAAGCCAAGCCACGGAGGAAATTACACGTGTGCCCCCAGCAACGCGAAGCACGCATACGTGATGGTCCACGTGATCGAAGGTAAACAAAGTTTCGAATATGATTAAAAAAACTCAAGTCTACTGATTCTTCCGGAATAAATATCATTGGGGTCGCTTATCACCTTCAGTATCATCGTCTCACTTTGAGATTTGTAATATCATCTACCAAATGGATCATAACAACCTCCTACAATTTTACCTATTCACTGATACGCTTCAAGCTTCTTCTTACGGTCATCCAAAATCGAATTTACAAAAAAATATATGTTCATGTTATTCAGCAGAGAAACGCTTATCGAGAGTCCTATGTTTTCGATAATGGTAGTACTATCCAATATCATCTCAAATCTCCAAGGAGAATATTTTATTTTTCACGTTCTCTCGCTATCAGTGTCACGTCTTCCGACTGCTCCTAATAAATGGAAAATACAATATTCCTTTTGTTTCCAGAAGAGGAGAAACCAGCAGCCATGCACGGCGGCGACAGGAGGAATTTGAGTCCTGCAATTTTAGCCAGCAACTTTCTCATCTCTTTACTGGCCGCCGTAAGCTGGAGGATACCAAGTTTTACGAGCCTCTACCCGACGTGAAGCGAGGGAAGAAGTTTGACTGGGTCGAGGTCTTGGAGCGAAGTTATCCCTTGGGACAAAGACGGAAACGTACCGAACGGTACGGAGAACCGCTCCGAATCCTTTCACTTATCCCTGTAGATTACGGGCTCGCACGATGCTCATCGACACTCGATCGCAAGGATGACGCTCTGAGCGTTTGATCTACATCCTCGCCGATCGATATCCGAGAGTTGCAAAATCAAACAACAGAGTATATCTTTATTTTGTCACGAGTAGTAGAGTCCGATTTAATATAACCAATGAAAGGAATAGAAAAGGCGTTATGGTGAAATAGGAACACGATTACGTTGGGAATTTCTTTCTTCGGAATGACATTCAGATTCGATTAGAATATAACAGCGATATATTTATAATTTATCTATATATAACTATAGTCTCTCTTTTACGTATCGAACTTCGAGGGAAGGAATTCCTCTATTCGTGCGAGAGTATCTTTTTCCTTAATCAGAATGGGATATTCTTATAAATTCTAAGCAAGCAGATCGAGTGACGATGACTTTCGTCACAGTATAACGTTCTCTCATACGTAAACGAGCAATTATTGTCTCTCTTGCATAAATGGATTTCAAACCCTAGTCGTAATACTCTACTAACGATAATAATATTGCGGTTCTTACCGATCGTATACTGTGTACCACTATATGTAGACATATTTTCTTCGACGTATTTATTGTGCAGCCCATAATTTACGAATAAGACCGCGACTACTTCCTGAATCCGATGGTGTTTGATGTTTAAGAGATGTTTTTCTTACTAAAGTAAACGCACGTCGACCCCAAAACAAATAATTTTCCTCATCCAACATAAACTCAGTGCGTTAATCGTGTGAGATGGTAAGACTTTAATGACATTATACTGCATAAGACCATGTGCTCATCGACATTATTTATCCTCGATAAATGGAATCAATGTAAATAACAGACTTATGATAACTCAAAATAAATCTAACGTAAATACACACGTTATTTCATTTACTTATCTACGTACGTTCTCCAGTATCATCGTAATGTCAGAATCGTGACTTAGACATTTTTGTTCTATGAGAGAAAAAGCTTTGAAGAGACATTTATTGCGTTAAACAGCTAAGTCTGGCATGAATTTGCTATTTTTATTGAATTCATGTTCAAGTAGACAATTAGATAAAAATATAATTATAGATAAATAGTTCAGTGACGAAATTATTTATTGTTTAAATAATGGTTATTGCAAGGGGCTGAACTTAAAAAAAAGGAGGGGGAATTTTTCTCAATCTCCGAAACGTACCTTATTCCCTGGAAAGTTGACATCGCGGATGCTATTTGGAAAGTTGAAAGCAACTCAAACAGGAATGTGGGAAAGAATGAATGACGGCGAATAATGGTAAAAGGTGAAGGGTCATAGGAAGAACTCTCAAAATCGGTCAATGCTTCTCCAGGTATAACGAAGGCGGAAGTTCGCAAAGTGGCGGAAGAGACGCTCATCCGGTAAAGTATATAAATATATATATCCATTCTAAGAAGGAAGATTCAGGTTCTGGCTGGAATTGAAATCGTCAAAAGTCGACGTCTTGTCTTGAGTTGGCGTAATAAAACGGACATTTAAGCAATGGAAATTCGAGGCTTACTATGTATAGCAGTATATTCCAAGATCAGATAAGTTTATCCATAGGCGCATAGCAGCTACCACCTACACAGGATACGTAACTACATAAACGTATAGGCAGTTGGATTCCATCGCGTCGAGACACGGCGCGTCCCATTTTATTTTTCGTCTGCTCGGAAAACTTTTACGATAAAAGCCCGAAACTCTTTTACGGTTGGTAAATTGAAACAAGAGTGAAATAAAGTAATATATCGGCCAGCCTTGATGTTTCCTGATTCCCTGCAAGGATATGTATCCCTACTTGCATGTTATATATCTGCACAAATTTTCAAACATCTCATACGAAGAACACGAGATGGCAGTAACGATTTTAAAGTGATCCTTGTTTTTACTTTGCTCCACATTTTCGATTTCATCGCATTACCGCTCTAGACGACCTACCCTTACCAGGGCGATGGCGTTTTCTCTTGCTAAACTAATCCGCGTTACTTCGGATGGAATCCGCCATAAATCTTCTAAAACGTTTCCAGAGAACGGTAGGAACTGCGTGGGTAACGAGCAAACAAGGCAGACCCTTCGTTCCGCTGGCTCCACGCGACAACCTGCGACGATACGTTGTGGCTCGAGCACGTGCAAGATATATCGCGATAACGGTGATTTTCCTCTGCGTGACGGTAGTCTCGAAAAAAAAATTGGTTTACATGGTTCTCGTGGCGTTATTTCAAACCAACTGTACTACGTATGAGAACATACTCAAAAAGAGTGAGCCTGCAAAAAGGAAGCCGGGAAGCAGATGGAAAAAGAGCCCCAGAAAGGGGAAGCATTTGTGGTTTGCGAAACATATAATGGGTATGTGTACGTACAGCTACCGGTACTGCAAACTATGCACGTAGAAATTTATGATTCATGCAAGTACCTACCTGCGTTTTCTCGTCGTCAAAATTCTTAAACGTATTTGTAGGTGGATATCATGACCAGCATTAATACGCGTTTCTTGTTAGTTGATCTTTTGTTTGATCTATAACGAATATATTAATACCACCAAGTGTACATACATACTAAATGAGAGCCTTAAGTTTCGCACTACCTACTCCTAAAAAATCTCGAGATACATTCTAAACGGTTGCACACTGCACGTACCTACGAATGTATACGAGGGGCGTAATACTCAAGCAGATATAATGACGTACAGAGTCCGAGTCTTGGAAAAATAACCAAGCCTTCGTCATGTGTTAAATCGCGGACAGGGCTCAACATTCATAAAACGAGTTCTCGATCATTTTATTTTAGTCAGCACGCTCTCTATAATTAATACTATCATATATAATTAATGATGGTTTTAAGACATCATCAGGAATCGTTTCAAGCTAGGTAGGTATGCACTCAAAAGGTTAAACGAAGATCTAGAAGTGACGTTATTATATTTTCTGTGCGAATATTTGTGAATGGATGTGCCAAGTTGCAATTCCAAGGTGTTGGAATTGCTCTCGAAACGACTGACCTGCGAACCTACGGACCTCAGCAGTGCCCTAAGGAGCTTTCGCTGAGCTTTCACTTTTGTGAAGCCTAGCCGGCTATCGAGTTAGTTTTATGCCTTGTACCACCTTCTATAATGTAGTTTATCATTCCCTTGTGGGCTCTTACGCTAAAAGCTAGCCGTGGCTCGCCACGTGGCCACTTCGGCGACAGCCAATGTCTGCGGATGTAATCAATGTTTATTGCCAATATCCGCGTTATCCGCATAAACATCGTATGTTTTTACGTATAACCGCATATCTACAACTACCTCAATATTATATTGCATAATGGATCGGAATCGAATAGACAAGTTCTTAAACCACAAAGCTCGAACCATCACAGCGGAAAACCGCGGGATTCCATTTTCGTTTGATTTTTTGTCGTATAGAGCGATGTGACAACGAGAAGAAAGATAATGGAGAGAAAAAGAGTAGAGAGAGAGAGAGAGAGAGAGTGAGAGAGAGAGAGAGAGTAAGAAGGAAGGAGCGGGTGCCTGGGTGAAAAGCTTTTCAAGCGTCCAATATTAAAGTAGGACCCTGTACAGACATTTTTAGTGCATCTCTAACAAGGGTTTGTCTACCCATAACCTTGTCTGGTGGCTTAATTAGGATTAACTTTTTTGTATTCTAAAACATGTTACGTTGGCTTGCTTACTTTGAGCCCGATTTAGATCCAGTTTAAACTTAGCTTATCACTTTTAAACCTAGTTTGAATTTAATTTATCGCAAAGATACCCTAGCAAAAATGTATCATTTGTAAAAATGTACGTTTTGGCTGAATAACGTGATAAATAGAACCTCGGATGGATCAATTTGATAGTCACATACGGCACTAAGGTGACCAAAAGTTACACATCTACCCCATCAAAGTAACACTGTTAGGAAGCACACTCTAAATCAAGTTTATTAGCTTAACTTAATAACTAAACTGAGCTTTTTGAACACATTGTGTCCAATTAAAACGTCTTCGATAGTCGTTGGCTGTGTGATTTTGAGTATGAATGCATGACTTGCAAATATTAATCTTAAGAAAACTATATATTATAGTTGCCCAAATATAGTTCAACTTGTAACAAATTTAGCTCTAGCTTATAACCCAGTAATTTTAATTATAAGAATATAATTTATACTTTTAACTTACTAAGTATACGGCATAGATTCATAAAACCAACATTGGGACAAAAAATAGAACGACAAATCAATATTGGGCGAAGTTGGCAACATCACTTGAGCGCAAATAATTATATGGCAAATAAATTTGGCCACGAGTTATTCCTAACAAAAAAATTTCCCGACGAAAAACGTTAGATAAAAAAAAGGAGAGCACAAGGAAAGGGGAAACGGTTGAGAATAGGAAAGTGGGAGTAGAGCATGGATGAGTATATATCTAGGGATTGATACTTGGAAGGGGTTACAATAGATGGCAGTAGCAACGATCTCCCCCTCTCGAAACGAAACGGACCTTATTAGATGAAATTCATCCGGCATAGATCCCAACCATAGCGACCTCCATATCCGCCGATCGCCGGTATTACGAAAAGTTATAGACGATGCTAGAGCGCCGTGTATTTTGTGGAGCAGCAAGTATCCGCAGAATGGCGATTGCAGGCTCGATAGTAAATAGCAAACCGTTCCTTGGAATTGGAGCTTGGGTCGAATCTGCAGACATATTTGTCCCGAGAGCAACATGCGACACGGTTGCGCTTTATAGTGAAAGATGTTACCCATTACTCTCAGCTAGCTGCGCCTTAAAGAGTGGTACAGTGTACACACCGGAAGTCCGAAGGCCGCGAAATCTAAGCTTTAGCTGATAAACTTTCGTTATCCAAGACAATCGACGAAAGTGGGCTCGTTAAATACGATATTTACTCTTTTCCATCTGAACCCGTAAAACTTTTTCCCATTATCGTTCCTTTTATATCCGCCATTAAGTACGAGAATTTGGACCCTTGGTTAGGAAGCAATGGTGCCGCATTTCGAGTGGATCTAATATTAAGCAATAATTCTTAGGGTTTATTATCACAGTAGCCTCGTAAGCATCCAGAAACAGTCAACGAATATAAGACTCAATTATGACACAAATGAGTGGTGGTTGCCGGCATGAGGTCAACCTCCATTAAGACATTTTTCTTGTAACTCTAGTGACAGTACCACCAAACTAGGCAGTCTATAGAATCAGAAGTAATTCCATAGGTCGCATTGCCGTATTAATTCTGTTTACCGTAATGTTATTGCATCATAAAACCAAGCAGAGTCATTCAGTAGGTACTCTTGTCTGTTCGATCGATCAATCACGGCAGTGCCAATACTTGCTTTTTCTACTGTTCACAGTAAAATCGTACGGACGCACAGAAGACCATTGTCGCGCCGGTTTCAATAATTTGAGTCTGAGGAAACAATAAATAAATATGTCGAGGATTCATCTGAAAGTCATGGTGATGCTATTTCATACTCTGACCCATTTCGATTTAGCGTCGAGACGCCAAAACAGATAGGAAATGCAACGGCCTTCGTTCCACAATACAACCCTTCTCTGTCTTTCAGGCTCTGCCATTATTAGGCGATGGTTGAGATTATTGATCTGACACCTCGTGGCCTAAGGGAATACTTCTTCCTCTTCCAGGTTTTATCACCACCATCTACGCTGCTGCATATTGCTCTCTGTCTCTTTCCCGAGCGGTGCAGCATCGGCCTCCATTTTAGACTTAAGTGAAAAGCAACTTACTTCCAGGAGGAGCTCACTCGGAGCTTGGAACGAGCTTGTCGTAGGTTGATATAGCCAAAGGTTTAGATGTACTTTTGCAAAGAGGAAAGCGCCAAGCTGGAAGTCAAAAAGAATCGAGAACGAGAAGAAAAAAAGGG